TTCTCCCATTTTTTCTGAACAAATCATATATAAATTCCTGGTCATTTCCATAGAATCCTGATAATTTCGGGCAAAAATCAAATCTGGTATTATAATTAGAAGCCGAATCTTACCTGGATTTGATTTTTACTCGAAAATTATTAGGATTATATGAAAATGACCAGGAATTTGGATATGGTTTGTTCCGGAAAATTGAGAAATTTTCCGGGAGAAAGTCGGAATACGTTTTTCGAAAATTTTTTATAGGGTAATGTTCAAAACTTTATTTTTTAATTTGCAAAAATGAGACATGCAATGAAAAATGTAAATTGATACTAGTGTATAATCGGTTACAGTATAGTGTTCCAAAAGCCATTTTCCCTAAAGAGTACAATGCCAACTAATTCGACCATCGGGTTGTCCTTTCGGGAAAATGACTTTCGGGAATTTGAGTTACAATGGTAATGATGAAGAAACCGTAAGTATCAGTTTTAGACTTATGAAAATATGACGACCAAAAAACGTAATCTTGATGTTAAATTACCCACCCTTTTATTTATATTGGCCAATTTAACAAAAGAAAGTCTGATATGTAAATAGGGTTTTTACCATTGTATAAATTAATAAAATATTTATCATTAAGAGTATCGTTAGTATCGTTGAATATGTTATTACCTGACTAGTAGAAAGCCATTAAAGACTGACAATAAAATAAAGATAATGGAGATAGTAATTATAAAGGTAACATTGTTTAGCATTAACGTTAGGTTTAATTTTCACTTTTGAATAATTATAATGCTAATATACATAATTCCAGGAACATTATAATTATATAACTTTATAGAAAGTCGAACAGCATACAGACATTATAACGCTTCCCAAGATGTTTTCTTCATGAATTTTCCTGAATTTATACCAAGACTTCTTCGACATTATCGAAAGTTTGTAATACTGGAAACCATACCTTTGAAGCTTATATAATCGGACCAATTGCGAGGTATCTTGCGGGAAAATTACCGTCACATTCTGAGACCATGTCAAGGATTACTTGTAAAGCACAATACACTAAAGCAGAACCTAACAGAGTTATGCCAACGTTAAAAGAACCGAATTTAATTTAAATTGAATAGAATCCAGGTGTAGGTTTACATGTTCAAACGTATTATTGAAGTAATTAGAACTAACACCGCAATGAAAGACTGCACCACAAAAATTGTTTCAAACGTTATCACAGGCATGATAAGTTGACTAAAATTCCTTATAGGCTGTTAATACATAAACATCAGCCCTCGAGTAGTTCCCAAACTTTCGACATACACAACCTGCCCATTATGAATACCGACACACGAAATTTTAAATGTTTAACGTAGTCCCAAGAGGTAAGTATTCGGACAATTCCATTCTTGCTTTTAGTTCACTAGAACTAAAATTAGTATTATTAACTTGGTATGACCTATCAGCGACGTTATCATCGCATTATTGCTAGAGAGATGTCTTTTATATGATACCTGAATATTTTTAGCATACAATACGTTGTAACTATTGAGTGGATATAAATAATTGTTCCACAAATCCAGCATTGATAGTTTAACAAAAGATAAGTACTGTATATCTGTGGATTTAGAGAACGATATTATTATTTTATTAATGTTTATTATTGGATCGTAGATTAAGTATCATTATGTCGCAAGAGATATTAAGGTATAGAAGGCTATTAGTTCTATTCTAGTTATTCAAATTACCAGGGAAGTATCGTTTATATATTTTTCTTTATATCATTGGCTTGAGATTTCTTCACTCTTGCCGTTAGTTACTGACTTCTTCCATTGGTTCGTAACCAACGACGCATCCAACCTTCGAAATCTAAAACCTATGTGACTTACCGTTCCTGTAATACAAAAAATTTTCCGAATTTGATCAGCAGATCATATTAAAGTGATCGACAAAAATTCTCATGTCCAGTACGTCATTCAATTTAGAGCGCTATAACCAAGCATTGGCATGGACATGTGTCCAGTTATTTTTAGCACTATTGGATTGGATTGATATATTTTTGATATATGGGTCTTTGCCCTCCGACATTCCAGATCGGGCAAATTTGGTCAAAAACAAACCTAAGTCCCGGTTCATGCTTATGTGTAAATCATCTTTTATCTTTGTTGATTCAATAGTTTATTCAATAAATTATTGAATCAACAAAGTAAAAGACGATTTACACATAAGTATGAACCAGGACTTAGGTTTGTTTTTGACCGAATTTTTCCGATCGGAAATGTCGGAGAGCAAAGATCCATATGTCCAGTTCAATATATCAATTATTTTAAAAATTTTTTGCAATTTTGAGTAAAGGTATCTAAACAGTTAGATAAAATTCGATCAATTTTTTTATTTGAATTCTATAGATAAACAGAATTCAAATAAAAATTTTTTATCGAATTTCATCAAATAGTTAAGATAACTACTCAAAATTTTAAAGCGATAGGGGACAAAATAACTACTCAAAACTTTAAAGCGATAGGAGACAAAATAACCTAAAAAATTATTTTAAAGCGATCGGAGACAAAGTAACCTAAAAAAATTAAGGCGCAATTCTAATTTTATTTAATACGTAATGGTGATGGCTGATATATATTGAATATATCACATGACCATATATTATAGATGCAGACTTATTACTTCACTGGCTAAAGCTCAATTGCATTCTATTTTGTAAACTGATTTTTTATATATGACGTGACTAATATAACAATTTCATTAAAGACTATTTACTCTATGCTTCTAATAACTGAAGGCACTACTTATTCTAAACTCTAAACAATTGAAGGCTTCAATCGAGCCGCGGAAAGACTTTGTCCAAATAATATCATGGGTCACTGCTTCGGAATCGTGGTTTAAAATATTTGCTAATCGGATAGTAGTGAAGCAATGGCAGAAAAATTGGGCAATCACGTGGCAGACGATCATTTCCGAGGTCAGTTCCAACAAACAAAATTGAAAATAAAGTTTTTTAAACTTCTAGCGATGATTTCTCAATAACTACTTGATTAAATTTGGTAAAAAGTATTTATTTTAATTTTATAGTTTTGTAGAATTGAAATAAAAAATGTTCATTAAATTTGGTTCAGTAGTTGTCGAGGAATCATTACTAGAAGTTTTAAAAAACTAAAATTGGGTAGATTTTTCTTTGACTAAAAAATTTCTTAACAACCAACTATATGAAAATTTTTTATTTTAATTCTGTATGTTCATAGAATTAAAAAAAAAAACAATTTATCGAATTTGAATAGTTAGGTGTTGAGAAATATTTATTAAAAGTTAAAATACAATTTGGCAACAGAGTTTTTTTACAGGTGCTTAAACTTTAAACGAAGATTACTCGACACTTACCTGGCCAAATTCGATCAATTTTTTTTATTTTAATTCTATAAGTTTGTAGAATTAAAATAAAAAAATTTTTAATCAAATTTGGTCAAGTAAGTATCGAGTAATCTTCGTTCAAAGTTTAAGCGCCTATAAAAGAAAAGATGCAACCAAATCAATTTTTTTTTATTTTAATTTTATGAACTTAGAGAATTAAAATAAAAAAAACTCTATCAAATTCGAATAGTTTGTTGTCTAGAAATCTTCGTTAAAGTTTTTAAATATTGTAATAAATTTTTGGGAAATTATAGGCATCTCTCGTGGGATATATATAAGTTATATATCTACCACAACCAAATTCGTTTAAGGTAGGGTTAGAGTTTGTGTTAAGGTTAGTGTTAGTGGTACTTATAGTAAAATTGCTCAAGGAAATTTTTTTGTTAGTGCACGAAAGGTAGTTTCTTATGCAAATGTTCGAGAAATAAACGATTTTTGAAAAAACGAAAGTTTGTTTTGATCTTCGTGATTGTGCTACGTTACACTAAATTCTGACGAAATTCTGGCTCATCATTGGGCAATTCGTGTGAATACGCATCTCCCGCGGAAGATGCCTAAAACTACCCTAAATTTTTTATTTAAAATTTAAGCAAAGATTTTTCGACAATTAATTATCTGAATTTGATGAAAATTGTTTTATTTTAATTCAATAAGTTTATAGAATTACAATAAAAAAAATTTTGATCGAATTTGAATAGCTGGTTGTCGAGAAATATTCATTAAAAGTTAAAAAAATTTGGCCAACTTTTCTTTTATAGGCGCCTAAACTTTGAACGAAGATTACTTGACACTTACCTGGCCAAATTCGATCAAAAATGGTTTATATTAATTCAATAAGAGTATAGAATTAAAATAAAAAAAAAACTTTGATCGAATTTGGCCGGGTAAGTGTTAAGTAATCTTCGTTTAATTTTAGGTGCCTATAAAAGAGAAGCTGCGGCCAAATTTTTTGAAATTTTAATGAATATTTCTTGATAACCAGCTATTCAAATTTGATCATATTATTTTTATTTTAATTCTGTGAACCCACAGAATTAAAATAAAAAAATTTCATCAAATTCGAATAATTGGTTGTCATGAAATCCTTGTTTAAAGTTTAAAGAAAGAAAATCTACCCGATTTTAGTTTTCGATATTTTAAGTTTTTTTAAAACTTTTGGCGATGATTCCTCGACAACTACTAAATTATATTCAATGAACTTTTTTTATTTCAATCTACAAAACTATAGAATTAAAATAAAAATATTTGTACTAAATTTGATCAAGTAATTATTGAGAAATCATCGCTAGCAGTTTTAAAAAACTTTCGAACTTAATAATTTTATTTATTGGAACCGACCTCGGAAATGATTGTCGGTCACGTGATTGTCCAATCACTAACGGGGATTAGCAAAACGAATTTTAAAATGTTGGACTCTAAATTATCTTTTATTGAAAGTTTTGGATAAATTCTACTTCTTAACACTTTAAGAAATAGAATATACTACGTCTGAACCGCGGAATTTTCTGAGTGGGAAAGTTCGACATTTACTGCGTAAACTAATCGGCCAGGAAGGTCCTTTTAAAATTTAGGGGTAATTTTAAACTTTAATATTTTTGACGAATTTTAGTAAATGTTTTATTTTAATTCTATAAGTTAATAGAATTGAAATAAAAAAAATTCAGCCAGGTTATCAATGGGAAATTTTAGTTTAAAATTAAAAATAAATTTATCATTCATTTTTTATCATTCATTTTTTCTTAAAATTTTTTTTTTTAATTTTTAAATTTAATGTTAACTTGATCAAATTCGATGAAAATTATTATTCTTGTTATTTTAATTCTATCATATCGGTGGATCTGCGCAGTCTAATAAATATAGAAACCCATCAGTTACAATTCTGGTCAAAATTGTCGATCATTTGGCCAAATTTCAAATTATTTAGCTCCAGTTCTGGTCATTAGACTGTGAAAATCCGCCGATATGTTAAATAATTAAAATAAAATAAAAAATTTTATTGAATTAGGTTAGCCAAATTCGATGAAATTTTTTAATTTTAAAACAAAAAAAATTTTATCGAGTTGGGCTAGTCATCGAGAAAACTTCGCTTAAGGCTTGATATCTATGAAAAAAAAGCTTTATTGAATTTTTTTAGATGTTAACCTACGACTACTTAACCAATTTCGATAAAAATTTTTTATTTAATTATATAATAGGCAAAAACACTATTGATGGATCGGCAATACCGGAGTTAAAAAAAATTTATTTGAGTACTGTTCCTGATAGGGTTCTAAAAACAAACCCTTTTTTCATTATAGTAGTATAGAATTTTGGAGGCCCTTTTGTAGAACCCTGTCAGGAACGGTGTGCAATCGATTTTTTTTTCACACCCTATCAGGAACAGTACCGGCGATCCATCAGTAACGGTACTTTTGTATATAATAGAAATTAAAAAAAAATTTTGGTTGGTTAGCCGTTAAGGAATCCTCTCTTAAAGTAAGAAAAAGAAGTTTACTGGAGTTTTTTCTTAAGCGAAGTCTCGATAACATTAAAATTTTTTTAAAATTTAAAAGGATCTTCCCGGCCGATTATGTCTCCGACAGATACTGATTCGGAATTTGGGAATCCTCCTGTATGAATTCAGCGTACGATAATATGTGAAAAACATGCATATTTTAGACATTTAAAAAAAGACTCAATACCTTAATTGATGTAGTTACTCTTT